TGTGACGCGATAATTAAGATACACAGCAAATATGAACTTCGAATTTGGTATTTTTGACGAATATTTTCTGACGAAGTAGATGCAATGACGGAGGAATGTTCTTTCGACAACAACCGAAACATTCTGAGAACAAGTTGATGGATTATTACAACCCATAAAGCAGAATTGTATGTTATTGGGAGCGTCTCCAGACCGTCACCAATTTGATGGCTGATCGTAACTACAGTGAGTCTAGCCTAGATAGACGCTCACGGACAATTGCCGACAGTGTTCGAGGACGTTATATACTTTTTCGGTTTTAACAACTATAAGTTTATCGGTCGGACTGCGATGTGGCGATCGCGGTCCATCACTCCATAAGGCCACTACTCCTATAGAGCTCCATCTATCCGACACGGGTTTCCGGGAGAGGGATATAGACGGTACCATAGACCAGTTATGTTTTTCATCTCACTGTGTGTTCACTATCCATGGATTTCGGTTTTAATCGTTTTTTACGTATCGCCCTTTATCTAGTTCGCTTGACGTCCTCACCAGCCCAAATGTACATGGTAAGTACTCACTTGCTTTCTCCCTTTTTCATACCAGTCTTCTCTTAGTAGTGCTTTTCTTAAGCTCGGAGATCTCTGCGTGTGTGTGTGCTTGTATGTGCGCGAGTGTGTGATATCTTGTTACAAAATACAAAAGATAAATGGATAAAAAAACTCGTACCTTTCGTTATGTGATAGCTTGTCTGTTTCAGGATGGCGGCAAGCTAATCCAAGTCTACAGCCAGCGGAGCTGTATGTTAACGGACGACTCTCCAAAAACGGCCTCTAAACGGTGAATAGGTGGGTATTGTTCCCTTGCTTATGCGGTCACGGAAAATCACCGCTAGTGTCGGAGAACGTGACTGCCTTGCAATCAATTTCTCCATCTCAGTTGCTCTGTGCATCGATTAGCCGCAAATATGTGTCAAACATTGCGCCATATGTGATGCGGGCCTGCCACCCAATGGAGGCCGTTGTCATCGCCCTGTTGTCATAATTCAAGCACTTGGTCATGTAAGAACTAAAGATGCACCCTCGGCGAAAAATAGTCTAATGTTCCCGGGGATACCACTTTGTAATAAATTCCGATGCTTCATCGTGGCTCACAACTGGGAAGTCGGCCTAACCCCATGTTTGAGAAAAGGAGAAGAGGAATGTATTCTGAATTTCCAATGAATTCCAGTCGAGTTTTATTTGTCTCGCGCCTTTAATTCGTGTGTATGTGTGTGCGTGCGTGCACTCGTTCACCACTAGATTATCAACAGAACTTTCTCTTTTTTTGTTTCGCGTTAGGACACGATCGCTCCCAAATCACTGTTTCGGCGGACATTGGCGATCTGGGACCGTACTCTCTGTTCGGTAAACCGGTGATCAAAGCCGAGGACGAACGAAATCTGACACTTTGTTGTCTTAACGAGTCACCCCAAACCACATCCAGGAGGTGAGTGAACCGCCCCCTCCCCTCATTCGATGTTGTCCCGCGGGTGGGCATTTCGTTTCGTACTCACAATTATCCGGTTCAGTTCATCTTCAGTCATGGAGGAGGGGGGGAGGATAGTTGAGGCAAACAACATGAACTGTTGAAAGAATTGGTGTCGATTTTTATGGGAATGAAAGTTCAAATGATTGTTTGGCAGATTGAAATCTTATGTTGAAATTGTGAAAAGTTCAGTAGCCTCGGTGCGAATCGAACCCTCTCATGGACGCCGCCTACGTTTTTGTACAGCGCACACTCTACCCATTGAGCTACGAGGTCACACCGATGGTACTGTAAGTTGGATGGGTGATTTGAATGTGGAAAGATCAGTGTCATCGATGTGGCCTCTTAGCTCAGCTGGTAGAACGTGCGCTGTACAAAAGCGTGGGAGTGGGTGTTCAGCTCGACGAGATTCGGTAAACGTTTGGCCTTGTCCTTTTTCTAGGAAATTGCTCAGAGTAGAGAACAATGGCCTTTTTATGTACAGCTTTTTGAGCAATAATGGGGTGGGAAGCAGATTGTGTGATTGGTATATGCGTGTTGGGGAGCGAGGGTGGTGACAGTCCCACAGATCAGGGCACAGTGGATAGGTCGGATCAGAAATAAAAGGTGGGGTTTACTTCTGTCAACGACCAGTCCGTGAAACCCTTAAGGGGATTGCGCCAAATCGGCCATCATACGGTAAGTCGTCTTGCGTGCTCAGAATACTTCAGGATTGCAGGATAATTAACTAAAGCCATTGGATCACTAGTCACCGATATAATAGTCTGGCATGCGTCAAACTGCCTCAGCTTTCCTGTATGACAGATGACAGCTATTTTCCCCTTCTGCCATGAGCATACATTTGACCGCGGCGCGAATATGCCATCCACGTTTGGAATCGGTGACTTACTTGTAACAGAAATGCTCTCGAACGGCACCAGTCAGGTGACTTCAGTCCAACACTCACACTGTAAGACTGCCAAAAATAGTGTTGTAATTCCACAACACCAGTGCCGGCTTGAGAAGAGCTTTATGTATTCAAAAAACAGCATAGAATAGGGTTAATTAAAATTACATAGAACGAAAACTCTAATTTGCAGTGGTTGGTTAATATTTTCGTGAGTATCTCTTCGTCGGCGATCGTCAACTCTACAGTGTGTTTGCTTCTTCTGTAGTTACAACAGAACAATCCTTTAATCTAGTCGGAGATGCCGTGAAAATCGGATAACCACTTCATTGTGTGCATACACACTACTCGGAAATGTGAGTAATACATCACAACACTAGTACTCTACTCATCTCCGTACGGCCCAGTCTCGACAATCACTATTTACAAATGACCATTCCATGGAACATCCTTTAAAACTTGCACTCCAGAAGAGTCGATCAGTTTATCGGTGTTATTTCCATCTCAAGTGGTGGTGGTGCAGTGGTTTAGTCGCTGTCACCGGCGTGCTTTGAACCCTGTGATCTGAGGTTCTAGCCCCGCCACAGCCACCCAACTCTGGTGGTAGGCAGATTTCTTGTCGCCCGGTTCTATACTACTCCTGACCTAGTGGGGCCTTATGTGGTTCGCCCCACTTCAAGTTCCGGCACAGATTGTCGGTTACCATCACTGAACAGCAGGTTTTCGTGACTATGGAGTCCACCCCGTCTGCTGTTCATCACACACTGGTGTGAAATAAAAACAATTTGTTTCTGCTCCAACCATTGTTTCATTCCATTTACTGCTCCACCAATCATTAAATCACCTAGTTGTCTAACAAATGGAGGTGAACGTGGATATTGATTGTCACTTGTACTACAATCCGAAACCAGTAAAGGTCCTGTAAAGTTTTAGTTTTGTTATTTTTCTATAATAATGAACGACACGATTTGTAGTGGGTGTTTTCTCAGCGTGTTTGATCCAGAGATGGTTGCGTTGTCTGAATACACGTGGATATGACATGATTTCAACATTGAGGGTGCTTTTTGGAGTGAATTGTTCAGGCAAGGTCAAGGTCAAGGATACGGACACGTGGAGCGGAAAAAGTACATTCGAAACTTTTGAAGTTCTTCATACAGAATCTACATTTGTTAGAAAATCTATGAGTATAAAAAAATGGAAAAACGAATTTAGAATTCGGCACGATCAGGTTTGATCAGTGATAAAAGAATCAGCGGCATATTTTCAAATGCCCCTGAAGTGAGTTGAAAAACAGTCATTAAAGGGACACAGTTAATGATGCTCGGTCCACGTCGGAACAGTTTAAATTCTTTGTTTAGGAGATTATAAAAAAATAGGTGAATAATAAATTAAAACAGGAAAACACATTGGTACACAACTTTGTAGCTGATCGATTGTTGAATTAGAAAATGAAGTTTACGGATATGGATGTTTAGTGACGACCATACCCGGTCAAAACACGCCGGAGAACTTCCTGTGACTTGACACTGTTTGTTCAACTCAGTAAACGGACTCCTCGAGCTCTATGACGTGTTCAACTCAAGGATTGTATGCGCAATAAAAGGGTACGTATTGACCAGAGAACAGACCTGGACAAATTCCAATTCATACGGAAGAACCGTCCCCCACCCTCGGTCAATTAGATTGCAAACCTCGGGAACAAAGGACAAAAGCGTTGCTGAATATGAAACTCAATAAATGAACAGATACTAGCAGAACACTGTCACTCCACAAGCCTCGAGATTCTCGCCTCGGCTGGTGATGAGAAGACGTTTGCAAACAAATTACCAAGCTTGGTGCACAGGCAAAAAGCAGGACAGTCAAAATATTGCAGCTTGTAGAGGAGATGTGGGGGCCGAGGAGCGTAATCAATTGCCATCTGTCTTGTTCAGAAAGCCACAACAGAAGGATAAACAACAGGCATCAAGTGGTTTTCCAATAAAATAAACTAAAAAGCTTTTCTATTTACTCTCTGTGGTTTCTAATCAACGGAAAAGTCGTTGTAACCAGTGTAATAAATTTGTTCACAGTTGTGTCTGTCGCATAAAGGGATACATTCCACCATGTACCATTGGGATACGGTTTATTGACGAAAGTTACCACATCTTGCCAACCTTTTTTGTTGCGCAGCAAAATGGTTAAACCGTAGAATCCAAATCTATGCTGTTCAGGGGGACGAGGAATGAAGTGCACAAGCTTATTTATTCTGCATTCAAAGCTAAGAATGTCGTAGGTGGAGTAGAAGGAAGACGGAGAAAAGAAGTCTGTTCCATAGTTTTCCTATTCATGTGGATAAATGGGATTGTAAGTTAGAATTACGACATTTTGGTTATAGCCACTTGACACAAGTGCCTGACCGCTTGTGTACGAGTTCTACGAGGAACTATCGCCGCTCCCCGGGGGGTTCCGCAAGGATCCGTGCTGGGTCCTCGTCTGTTTTTTGCATTTGCAAACTACATACCACGGATCCTTGGGCCAAATACACTACTGTTCGTGGAAGACGCTAAAATATGGAGAACGGTAACACATCCAGGGGATTATTCGGCACTCCAAGAAACGATCCGGGCAGCCCACCGATGGTCAGTCGCCAGTGACATTGAATTTAACGTTTCAAAATACACAGTTATCTCCATGCTGCCCAGGACTTCTGTGTTCTAGGGAACCAACTACTACGATAGGCCACTGATTAGAGGGATTTGGGAGTTATGGTACAGGAGGACTTAGGATATTCCACGCACTGTGCCAGAGCGTCATCCATGGCACTGAAACAAGTTGGACTACTTAAACGTGATTTCGGGCAGTTCGAAAAAGCACTGTTCCCACGCTTGCTATCAGCATGCACTCGGCTACTCCGGGAATGGAATCCATAGTTGAACCGCGACAAGAAGGCTCTAGAACATCCGCAAAAGTTGGGAACAAAAATGGTAAAAGGTCTGTATGACAAGATATACTACTAAAGGCTGCAAATATTGGGGCTGTACTCATCTCAGTACCGCCGACTTCGGGGGCACATAATCTTGCTATACCACATACTGCATCAACCTAACCACCGTTGCCGTTCTGTGTTGATTTTGTCTCAAAATGATCGTCTCAGGAGACATTTATTTAAGTTGAGGACTCAGAGCAGTCACCTAGATTGTCGGTATCACTCGTTAGCAGTTAGAGTGTGAGGTGTTCGGAATTCTCTTCCATCCCATGTGGTGTGTGCTCCTACAGTTAAATTATTCAAATCGCAGCATTAAAACACTTAAGATTTTAACATCTGAGTGAGTGATCATGCATATTACAATTAATTTCTATTTGTAAAGTTGTTCAAAATTGTGTAAAACTCCTGTGGGGCCTGATAAGAGTTAACTTTGTCAAATCGCCCATAATGTAAAACTAAACTTTAATTGAATGCGGGACAGACAAGGCAAGTTCAGTTGAACCAAAACCAATCTGAGCCCTGCAGAATAAGGATGTCGAGATTGTGAAAGTTCAGTAGCCTCGGTGGGATTCGAACCCACGCATAGACACCACCTACGCTTTTGTACAGCGCACGCTGTACCAGCTGAGCTACGAGGCCACACCGATAGCACTGATCTCTTCACAGTCGAATTCGGCGGTGGTGGCCCAGTGGTTAGGTCACCAGCTTTTGACCTGGGCGTCCCGGGTTTGAATCGCTCCACCGTCACCCGTCTTCCCCGGCAGCCTTTGTATGGTCGCGGCCCCCCTTCCTGAGTGGTAACTATAAATCTGTGTATTCAATAATTAAATGAAAAAGGAAGTAAAAAGACATTTTTTGCTCGATAACTGCTATTTGTCTGCTAGGGCAGGGTCGTCGACGATGAGACTAATGGCCATATTTTGAAACCGACTAATGAGAGAATTGGATAAAGCGCCACCCTCCGAAACAACTGCATTTTTGAAGTTTACAATGAATCTAAACTTTGTAAAGTGAGGGGAGATGGCTGGAAGTGAACAGACCTCTGGCACGCAGGAGACAGACCATCTCTTCACGCAGCTCATCATCATCATCATCATCATCATTGTACAG